ACGGGATCCAAAGGATCAGTTCACACGATTCAGTTTCTTGAACCGATGTCTTTTGCCTTCAATGCGACTTACTCCTATTCAAGCACATATCACTCGTAAGTAAACCTTCACAGCCTTTCTGGGTCCTTTAACTTGAATAATTCCCACTGAATTATTCTATTCTCTTTTGGGTCTCACAGGATTCAGTTTTCCTCAATAATTTTTTATTTTATGTTCTAAACATCAAAACATACGATCGCTCGTCGATACTGTCGAGCAATTGGCCATCAATCTTGGCCAGTAATTGATGATCAATCTGCCCCGGGCACGTTGGGCACCATGTTTTATGGTGCTAAATTTCCTACACCTTCTACCTTATTTTATTTATTCTCAGGTTAGGTAAAGTAAGTCAAATCTGTCCTATCTCATAAGCATCTAAGTTCATACTTACAAAACAGGTCACAGAAGACTTCTCCGTGGTCTGTTCTTAGCTATAAAACAATGCCAGGGGAGGCAGACTTGTAATAATAAACTGACTTGTATTTATATAACACAAGTAAGTTTATTATTAGTAAGTAAGCAGTACAAATATTCTACAACTACTTTATATAAGTATTTAATAAAGTATAAATATCAAAAAGCTCAAGGCAATATCAGCAATGGTTCTGGTGCTGGAGAGCTCTTCAGGTGGTCTCGAAGCAGCATCTGATTTCATCATGGCACTTCAGTCTTTTATAGACAGCAGGTGGATCCCAATGTCTTGTGACATCATACTGGAAATCCCCTAAGAAGTTGTTTATAAAAGGTCTTGCATCTTCTAATTTTTCTTCTTCGGGATTCTTTGCTCTGCTGTCTTTTATGCTTCATCTGAAACACACCAGCTGAGGTAATGCCCACCTTCTTTTTTCTTCAACGCTCTTGGTAATACATGTGTCATCTCTAGCCGTGCTCTTGCTTACACGTGTTATAAATGTTTTCTTAATAAATGCTTAAAACAACAAGTGTGGCAAATACCACTGACATGCTATTGTATTTGTATAAAACGATAACAAACTCTTGTTACGGTTCAGATTTTGGAATTCACTTAATATTGCCTCTCAGAAGAGTCTCTCGTAACGTCATGAAGTCTCGTTACACATTGATATTTTTAATTTATTTGAAATGAAAGAATCATAGGGAGATTTGAAGTGAAGTTGTGGTAGAAATTGAATCCAAACTGTATCTATCATCAATCAGGCATTAAAAACAAGAAGAATATAGTGCATTTCTTGTCATTTATGAATATTATTTTTTATTTTGTTTATACTCTTATTTTATTTAGTTTTTATGTACACCAGTTATGTTTTATTTATTTGTTTCATGTGTATCTATTTTCTCAAGCTCACTTGCGCTCCTTTTTTAAAACTTGTTTAAATATTTGTACATGTGTTATTGAATGTGTTCCAATTAATACACTTTTACACTTAAATATTGAAAAGGTCATTTTATGTGCTTTCTTTTCACTCATCAAATGTATGACAGTTTTTACACTAGTGGGGCCCATTTTCATTATCTTGCCTAGGGCCCCACAACCCTACAGTCTGGCACTAATGCTCACTTTAACCAGATTACTCAGTGTGCATTATTAAGTCACTTGTTGTGTATAACTATACTGTACAGTCTATACTCTCATGTTTTGTCTCTGGTTACATGTTTATTTTCTAACACCAGTCAGGGGCAATGCCCCTAATTTCATTGTATGCAAAAAAATCAGTTCAATTCGATTTAAAAGCTTTATTTAGACATATAAAACTACGCCAAAACATCATGGATTTCAACTATTAAAACTAAAATTATATATATAAAAAATTCCTTATGCAAATACAATCAGCAGAGCATAAAAGTTGTTGATAAAAATAAAAAGGTAACATTTAATAATTACTCAAAGCAAAAATGATCAATAATTACTGAAAGTAAAAGTGAAAACTAAAGAGATGGATCTCTCTCCTACTTATTTACAAGTAGGGATGGGTATACATATACTTGCCAGACCAAGGCAAGGCAAGTTTATTTATATAGCACATTTCATACACAATGGTAATTCAAAGTGCTTTACATAAAAGGAATTAAAATAATCATAAAAAATAATAAAAACTTAAAATAAACTAAAATTGCAGAAAAATACAATGACAATAAAGGCTTTCAGTTCAATTCAATTTAAAAGCAATTGAGTTTTGAGTCTGGATTTAAATGAGGCTAATGTTTTAGCATATCTGATCTCTTCTGGAAGCTGATTCCAACTGCGACTTGATCCTAATGATCTGAGTGGTCTGTTATGTTTATATTCAGTGAGCATATCTGCAATGTATTTAGGTCCTAGGCCATTGAGTGATTTATAAATGAGTAAAAGTACTTTAAAAATCAATCCTAAATGTAACTGGAAGTCAGTGTAAAGACCTGAGGACTGGTGTGATATGCTCAGATTTTCTGGTTCTAGTCAGAATCCTGGCAGCAGCGTTCTGGATGAGCTGCAGCTGTCTAATGGTCTTCTTGGGAAGGTCGGTGAGAAGACCATTACAGTAGTCCACCCTGCTGGTGATAAAGGCATGAACAAGTTTCTCCAAGTCTTGACTGGAAACAAAACATCTAATTCTTGCAATGTGTTTTAGATGATAGTATGCTGATTTAGTTACTGCTTTGACATGACTATTGAAAATAAGGTCTGACTCCAGAATCACACCAAGATTCTTGACTTGATTTTTAGTTGTTTGACCCCTGGAGTCCAGGTATGCCTTCACCTTGAGAACTTCATCTTTGTTTCCAAATGCAATGACTTTAGTTGTCTCCTTGTTTAGCTGAAGAAAGTTTTGGCTCATCCAACTGTTAATTTCATCAATGCATTGGCAGAGGGAGTCAATGAGTCTGTAGTCATTTGGTGAAAAGGCTAAGTAAATCTGGGTGTCATCTGCATAGCTGTGATAGGCAATTTGGTTCTTTCTCATTATTTGACTTGTGTATTTGTATTTGACTTGTTAGGCATGTACAAGCTAAACAAGAGCGGTGCAAGAATTGATCCTTGTGGGACTCCGCATTTCATGGATGTCCACTCAGACTTATGCTCTCCTATACTCACATAATAACCTCTCCCTTGTAAGTATGACCTTAACCATTTGATAACCATCCCAGAAAGCCCGACCCAGTTTTCCAGTCTCTCTAGTAGTATGTTATGATCAACAGTGTCAAACTCAGCAATGAGATCTAGTAGTACCAGCACTGATATTTTGACAGAATCATAATTTAAGCAAATATAATTTATTATCATTACGAGTGCTGTCTCTGTGCTGTGATGCGGTCGGAAACCAGATTGAAAATTATCCAGTTATCCATTTGAGTTTAAGTAGTAATAGTAGTAGCTGATTATAAACTACCTTTTCAATAATCTTGCCTATAAAAGGTAGATTTGATATTGGTCTGTAGTTACTCAATATGGTGTTATCAAGATTGCTCTTTTTCAGTAGGGGCTTAACAATTGCAGTTTTCAGGGAGTATGGAAAAGTCCCAGAGAGAAGTGGGACTTCACCACTTCTAAGAGATCTGCTTCTAAACAGTTTAACACACTTTTAAAATAAGATGTGGGGAGTGTGTCAAGATAGCAGGTTGCTGTACTATTTCTTCCAACATTTTGCTATCAATTGCTTCAAAAACAGACATAGTAACTACTTTTTGAAATTGCGGTCGAATCTGTCTGACCTCTGCATAACTTGAGGATGTGCTAATCGCCTTTCTAATATTACTGATTTTCTCAGAAAAGGAGGAAGCAAACTCATTGCATTTGCTGTCGGAGAGCATTTCACTGGGAATCTGACTTGGGAGGGTTTGTTAGTCTCTCAACAGTAGCAAGAGTGCGAGTGTTTCAAGTTACTGTTTATAAGGTTTGAGAAGAATGACTGTCTACCTTTGATTAGTTCCACATTGAAAGCATGAAGGCTGTCTTTATAGATGTTATAGTGAATTTCAAGTTTCGTCTTCCGCCACATCTGATTTTATGCATTGTCTGTACTGCTGTTGATTTTCTCCAGAGTGCTTTTTGTCTGACAGTCGTCTTAATGACTTTTGCAGGAGCAATATCATCAATAACATTCTTAACTTTTGAGTTAAAGGAATCAAGGAGAAGATCAACAGAGCCTACAGAAATGCTTGGTGTTAAAAGACATAGCCTTCATAAAAAGCACACAAGTACTATTCTCGTTAATGGATCTCTTTCTGACAGAGACAGATCTAGATTCAGTGGTAGCAGAGATTAATATATCAAAGAAAATACAGAAGTGATTAGATAGTACTACGTCCTTAATAACAATGGAAGAAATCTTTAGACCCTTACTGATGAGGAAATCTAGGGTGTCCACGATTGTGTGTGGGTCCATGCACATGCTGAATCAGGTCAGAAGTGTTTAAAACAGTTATAATTTCTTTTGTAGCATTAATTACTGCATTATCTATGTGAATATTCCAATCTCATATTCAAATCAAACTCTGAGGAAATCATTGATAACAGTTCTGTAAACTCTTCAATAAAGGCTGGAGAGTATTTTGGAGGCCTGTGAATAATGATAAATAGGATGCGTGGAGCACCTTTCAGCATAATCCCTAGATATTCAAAAGACAAGTACTGACCAAATGACACTTGCTTGCATTGATAGACATCTTTGTATGACCAGTATGTAGCGCTGTAATTCTGACACAAAGATACACTAAAAACGGAGAAGACTTGGAGCATGCGCATAAACCTTGCGCGCTGTATACAAACCCAACACAACAACAAGAAAAGGTAGTAAAGTTAGTAACGCTAATAGGCTTCAGCAGCATGAACACAAGCATGTAGTCCGCCTTTGTTGTTGCTGTTATGTGACGTAGCGGTGTCTGACTAGGGTAAAGACGTGGGGTGATGACTTCACCGTTTCACAAAATATACGGATTGGCTGTACACACCAAAATGCAAAGGTGTTGTTTTCAGATTTATCCATTCTGGGACTCGGGTTTCAAAAAAATAATGGTTTCAGGCTCCCAAAACGTTGGATCCGTCTGGACGAAATGCTGATACAATACAAAATTTTTACGTATACAGCTAAATGCATCTGTGTGTGTACGGGGCCTTACTGTGATTGGTTTTTGTATGTCTGTGTAGAGCAGATGAATGATTGAAACACTTCCCACATGCAGTGCAGTGATACGGTTTCTCTCCAGTGTGAATCCTCTCGTGTGTTTTCAGATTTGATGAATTACTGAATCTCTTGTCACAGTGTGAACACATATAAGGTTTCTCTCCAGTGTGGATCCTCTCATGTCTTTTCAGGTCTCCTGACCTATTAAATCTCTTGTTGCAGTGTGAACACTTACAAGGTTTCTCTCCAGTGTGGATCATCTCATGTGTTTTCAGATGTGTTGACTGACTGAATCTCTTTTCACAGTGTGAACACTTATAAGGTTTCACTCCAGTGTGGATCCTCTCATGTGTTTTCAGGTCTGCTGACCTATTGAATGTCTTGTCACAGTGTGAACACTTGTAAGGTTTTTCCCCAGTGTGGATCATCTCATGTGTTTTCAGATGTGTTGACCGACTGAATTTCTTTTCACAGTGTGAACACTTATAAGGTTTCTCTCCAGTGTGGATCCTATTGTGTATTTTCAAATGTACTGACTGACCGAATCTCTTGTTGCAGTGTGAACACTTATAAGGTTTTTCTCCAGTGTGGATCCTCTCATGTGTTTTCAGATGTGTTGAATGATTGAATCTCTTGTCACAGTGTGAACACTTATAAAGTTTTTCCCCAGTATGAATCTTCTCATGCAGTTTTAAACAGCTCGCTGAAGTAAAAGTCTTTTCACACTCAAAGCACATGTACTCTCTCACAGCAGTATGTGTTTTCTGATGTTCTTTCAAAATTGAAAAATGTGAAAAACTCTTTCCACACAAATAACATGAATACGGCTTCTCCTTTGTATAACCGGTCAGGTGTTTCTTCAGGACTGAAGCTTTCAAAAATGTTTTATCACATTGATCACATGAGTACAGTTTCTCTCCAGTGTGGATGTTTATGTGTTCATTAAGTTGTGCTGATTGTGTGAAACACTTCCCGCACTGATCACATGTGTGCGGTTTCTCTCCAGTGTGGATACTCTTGTGTGTTTTCAGGTATCCTGACTGACTGAATCTCTTGTCACAGTGTGAACATTTATAAGGTTTCTCTCCAGTGTGGATGTTCATGTGTACCTTAAGGTTTGCTAAGTGTGCAAAACTTTTTCCACATTGATTACATGTGAATGGTTTCTCTCCGGTATGAACTCTCATATGTGCCATAAGGCTTCCTTTTTGTGTGAAACTCTTCCCGCACTGATCACACGTGTACGGTTTCTCTCCAGTGTGGATGTTCATGTGTACCTTAAGGTTTGCTAAGTGTGCAAAACTTTTTCCACATTGATTACATGTGAATGGTTTCTCTCCGGTATGAACTCTCATATGTGCCATAAGGCTTCCTTTTTGTGTGAAACTCTTCCCGCACTGATCACACGTGTACGGTTTCTCTCCAGTGTGGATGTTCATGTGTACCTTAAGGTTTGCTAAGTGTGCAAAACTTTTTCCACATTGATTACATGTGAATGGTTTCTCTCCGGTATGAACTCTCATATGTGCCATAAGGCTTCCTTTTTGTGTGAAACTCTTCCCGCACTGATCACACGTGTACGGTTTCTCTCCAGTGTGGATTTTCAGGTGTACCTTAAGTTGTGATGATTGTGTGAAACTCCTCCCGCACTGATCACAAGTGAACCGTTTCTCTCCAGTGTGAACTCTCATGTGAACATCAAGATTATATTTGCATGTCAAACTCTTTCCACACTGAGTGCAGGTGAAAGATTTCTTGGCTCTTCTTTTCTTTAACTCTTTCTGTTTGGTTTGAGAGCAACTCAAAGGTTTTTCTCCATTTTTAAAATGATTTTTCTCCTCAACTTCACTCAATTCTTCGTTCTCCTCACTTTCTTCAATAAACTCTAAAATAAAAGCAAAAGCAGTTCATTTGTCAGTAACTTGGGGAAAAAAACTGAAATGTGAAAGTACATAAAAATGAACCACGTTGTAACAGTGTAAAGACAATTTCTATACAAAATTTGTTCCTTTTGATGCAATTTTATAAAGTATTCTTCCCTGAAAATATCAAAATATAATTTGTACAAATTCAAATTCAAAATCACTAACTGCTCTTGACTAAAGGACTTTTGTAGCTTTAATAAGAAACAAAGAAAGTTTAATTTTTACAGTGAAGACTATGCTGTTTTATTTTACATTTGATTATTCATTTCTGTAGTAGGCTGTTAACTGAATACTTTAGACTTGCATAAAAAAACCTTGAAGTACATTTTAATTTGTATCTTTTTATTCTATTGTAAGCCTATTTGTCCTTTGCTTTTTTTTTTTTTTATTACTGACAGTTTAATTATTTTCAACAACTTTTTTTAAAAAATTTTTTTACCAATATTAGTTACCCTAGTACTCTGCTCTGCTGTATTGGAAATTGTGAAATTTCGCTGGTCTCTAAAATGTAGCTGTCATGGCAACGGAACCTTATTATATACAGAAAATACATATTTCATAAATATCACTATCTTTAAATAAATCACTCATATAACGTTGTGGATATATGGCCCACTCATAATTGTGTTAAATAATCGTGATTACAATATTGACCAAAATAATCTAGCAGCCCTAGCAAAAACTCTAGTCTACCACATCCAGTTCTCAAAAGTCTTGTGAACAAACGTTCTGTATGTGTTTTATGACCTTATTTTAATAACTTAATTTTAGTTTTTTACTAACCACGCATAAACATGGTTAAATCAAAAAGAGAGTTAAAGCTTTGTAAGCCTAATGTACCACAAACAATCATTAAAGGTGAATGAAGAATAAAGACCAACCTCCTTGTTCCCCCTGTTTTATTCTCCGGGTTTCTGGTTCCTCGTGTTTTATTCTCCAGGGTTCTGGTTCCTCCTGTTTTATTCTCCAGGGTTCTGGTTCCTCGTGTTTTATTCTCCAGGGTTCTGTTTCCTCGTGTTTTATTCTCCAGGGTTCTGGTTCCTCCTGTTTTATTCTCCAGGTTTCTGGTTCACTCGTGTCCTCGACTCTCTCCTCTTTAACAAACACCATCTTCACAGCAGCAGACCTCAGTTCAGATGATACTCCTCCAGATATTCCTGCTTGCTTCAAAACTTAGTCACGACTATGAGGATGAGAATATTACAGGTATTTATTGACCAGATTCAAAAACTGTATTTTTCTACTTTCAGAAACTACATTTCTAAGTTTGTATTAAGCCAACATCACAACAGAACAACAGAGAGCACGGTGAAACTAATCTTCTTCCTCTGGGGATTAATGGTGTTTGGCAAACAAACTTATGTATTTTAGCGCCACCGGCTGGACTGGAGTGTGAAGCGGCGAGAGGAGCGAAAATAAAAGGGGGTGTGCACAAGACTGATTTGTTTTCCTATATAAAAACAAAAAGCCGCTCTGCACAAAAAATGAAAAGGAATTAAAATTATAGACTTGCATGGTATTTGATCAGCATCAACAGTCTTCGTGAGTGAGGATTAGAGGAAAAACGCGTGAATTATTAGTCAAATATTTCATTGAATATCACACAGCTTTGCAGCGTACAAATATAGAGATTAAGATCAATGAAAACACGTGACAATGATAAGATGTTGTCTAATTAAAAATAAAATAAAATAAAATAAACTTAATCCAAAATATTGGGCAGATTTAGCATAAAAAACAACTTCATTATGGGTTATAAATATCCGGGACTTAAGACATAACCAACTATTTTGATAAAGGATATTTGTCCTTTCAAATTCAAAAATCACACCCACATAGCAATTGTTTTCTGGCCCAGCTCCGAATTGTAATTGGAATATACTTGGAATTATTATTAATTATAAGGTTCTATCTGCATTCTGATGATTTTTGAGATATTGAGCTTCAAATTTTTTGCATTCCATAGACTTCTGTAGATAGAACCCTTTTTGTTTTCTAAAAAAAAAGGCTCAAAATGTTCACAGCTTACAAAAGAAACACATAATGTAAATAAGTTGTCACAGAATAAGAATACGTAAATAACTAAATTTTGACAAAAAAGTCAGATAGAACCTTATAATTCCAAGGCGACACTATATATACATATTTATTAGGGGTGTAACAGTACGTGTAATAATAATAATACAAAGTAATTGAATTTTGCACATACCTGGCTTCAACCACTTTTTGGAGTGCCCCTCAGATGGAGCTGAGTGCTGACACACTGGGAAGATGGAGTTGTTGTGGGTATGGATATTCTGCACATGATTGACAACTGATATCCATTTAGCGACCGCTTCTTCACCAGAAGATGATGAGGTGGAACACCAGTACAGATGGTTGATGACACTCTGCTGCCACTTCTTCACTTTCCCACAGTCCCGTTCCTTGGAAAGAGCCTTCAACTTCTTAGAAACGCCTGAATCGCACATAATTACGATATTACGGCAAACGATATATATCGCACAACCCTATAACAAAGGCTATATCACAAATAAAGGCCATTAGTATTGCTTTTGGTATTGACATTTTCAAGTTATTTGTCCGATTGGGCAAGTAAATTTCTCTTTCACTTGCACGTCCAAAACATTCACTTGGCATTAATGTCGATCCCTGTGAACTAACCCTTTAATTAATAAAAAAAAAAGTGAAATGACTTAAAACAGTTCAGTCTGTTTTTAGATACCTTTTGCAACATGCCACACATCATAGAAATGCCTGACTTTTGGCCTCTGCTCTCTCAAATACTTCTGTACTTGTGGGTGCCTGTCAGTGATTATAGCATTCACTGTCACTCCAGATGCCTCCAAAAAAGATAGACTCCTTATCAGGCCCTCTTTCTTCATTTTGACACTGCTGCCAACTTCATTGCTCTGTGTTAAAAAGGCCATATTACACTTTTTTGTGTTTAACCTTTGATTTTTGTCTGAATTTTTTTTTTACTCTATAACCTCACCTGCACTAGCAGGATATCCAAGATTTTTCCACTGTGGAGGTCCATTACAGAGTAAGAACCATATTTAGTGCAGTGCCCTGGGCTGTCGGCTCTCATATCACCTCCCAGTGAGTTCTTCTTGTGATCGCTTCCATGTAATGAAAACACACGGATCCATGTATGATCTGACATGGTCAAAGTATGTTTTCTCGCTATGGTGTGAACTTTCAGTGCTGACAAAACCTAATAAAACAGAGCATAGCATTGATGACTACAGTACATAGTATTTGACAGGACACTAAACACATCACATCATGTATATTTTTTATTGTAGATTTCTTTTTACCTTGTTGAACTGTATGAACGGTGAGCCGGTGAAGTTCACAGCAGCAGACAGATACAGGTTGCCTGCTGGGGTGCTACCAATGATAGGCTGACTGTTCCACTTACAGCTGTACTCACAGAAGGAAAATTTTTGAAAAATTGAAAGAAAGGTTCCCCGAACATACTTATGCATCTCACAAGTCCGACCAAAGGTAGGGCAGTCATGAAACAGGCTTAGTTTTGATAGGGGTTGAAGTGAGCCCTCCAAAGCCTGCTGGCATGACACTGTTGATTCCAACTACTTTGGTGGACGGCTTGACTTGGGTAGCTGCATGTGAGGCATTGAATACAGTTACTACAAACTGATAAGACTAAAATGACTAATACTGATCATAATTATGAAGCACAATGTGACACCCTGACTTCGTCTGTTTTAATGTCATCTCTGACAGCTGAGTGGCCACTGTCATCTCTGCCTTTTTCATTGGCTCACACTGACAGCCCACATCTCTGGTTTTCGACCCAAAACCAGCAGGGCTCTTAAGGGGGAAAAAAAACAAATTATCTTGTAGAAGTCCACAGAGAAATGTGTGTGTGTATATATATATATATATATATATATATATACACGTTTTAAGCTGGTGTAAAAGCTACAATTATACCTAACGATGTTCAATGTCTAGTAGGCTTATGTAGTTATTGCAGCCCACCCCAACGCTGGTTCTTACATGGATAATGAATGATAAAACTATGTTTTTACTAGCGGACAATTACAGTGGATACTGTAACATTCGTTAAAGTTACTTACTTTACAATGTTGTGTCTTCAAAATGCCTTGGAGATTCGAATGCAGCCAAGTTTGTGATTCCAATTCGCGCCCGCGAGCAATGCGTGTTAAGTGCGGCCGCCAATGCTGGAGAGGTGGGTCTGACGTCAGCTAACAAAAAAAGGTCCCCAGGACGTCCCCTAAATAACCTCTGCGAACGTCCCCCCCTAGCGTGTAGGGTCCCCTTGACGTCGAGCGGACGTTCGCGAAAACGTCCTCTGGACGTTCAAGAAGACGTTCACAGGACGTGCTGCGGCCATTTGGGACGTTTAGGGGACTGTCAGTAATTAACAATCGGTCCCTATAGATTCTCTTTGCCACCTGGAAAATTTATACGTTTAATCATTTCAGCTTTACATGCTAACGTTAGCTTCGAGAGTGTTCACATTGGTTAAGATAGCACACGTAACTTACGTCTGCAAGATGTCTGTTAAAGATCTATTGATTACCATGAAACCAGGGTCTTGTTCGGCGTCCTGGGGTGTTACAAAGTATTTGTGAAATCTAGCTAACAAAATATATATTGTGTTGTTGGAGTGGTCCAGACGCTACACTGGAAAGCATCTGCTGTGGACAAACATCTAACAGACGTCTGTAAGATGTCAGTTTTACATACATTCTAAATCATAAACATCTTAAAGACATCTAATAGACGTCTATTTGACATCTAAAATGAAACGTCCTA